CTAGTTTCCTCTATAAAATGAAGTAAACAGCGGTACTGGATTTGTTTTCTATTGCTGTGTAACAACTCACCGCAAACCTAGTGGCTTAAAACGACACCCACGTATTAGCTCACAGAGCTGTGGGTCAGAAATTCTCGTGTGGCTAGGCTCTCTGTGCAGGGCTGAAGGGAAGCTGTTGGGAGGCTTGGGGGTGGGGGGAAGTCTGCTCATTTCTATTGTTTGCAGAATTCATTTCCTTGTTGTTGTAGGACTGTGGTCCCTGTTTCCTTGCTCACCACCCTTGCCGTGTGGCCCCTTCTCTCTTCAAGTCAGCAAATCCTTATCATACTTTAAATCTCTCACTTCCTCTTCTTCCATCAGCAGGAGGAAACTCTGCTTTTAAAGGGCTCATGTGACTAGACCAAGCACACCTGGGTAACGCTCCTACCTCCAGGTCAGCTGCGCTTTATGGCAGTATGTGGATCAGCATTTGATTGAATACTCAGGGGACCAACTTGGAATCCTGTCTCCCACACACACCTGCTTCTGGGGCAGTTGTGAGGCCCGAGGTAGGAAGTGTAGGTCAAGTACTTAGCACATATCTGGTATGTTTCAAGTAGAGATTTGTACGCAAAGAATTAGCCAGTTGAGTTCCCAGGACTGATGAGGATTTGGGGGGGGGGTAAAAGAAGAGGGTAAGGGGTTGAAAACAATGGGACAGCGGAGGGGCCTGGCTGGGGCACTTCATTTCGGTATATTTGGAAACAGGAAGTGCCTGTCCCTCTTGGGTGAACAGCATGGTCTCTGGTTTTGCTGTGGTAATGGCAGTGAGGATGGGCTTCGGAATGATGGACAAGCGGCTTCTGGATCAGCTCTCTCAGAAACCATCTGCTCAGAGACTTTGATTTTCAGGAGAGTGAAGAGGTTCCCTCCAGCTATAAGTCTGGGGATTCAGAAACCACTAAAACAGCAGCTTTTTCCAAACCAGCCAGTAAGGATCTAACCGGGGGAAGTGGGAAAGAGGAGTCAGGATTCCCGCTCCCTCTGCTAACCACACACAGGTCGTGGCTGAGGCCCATCTGAAATTGAGGAAGGCCATTTCCTTTCTCAGCCTGGCATCCCTGGCAGAAGCATCAGACAATGGACCAGGACCCCGCTGACCCTGGGGAAAGGCTGACCCCTGAGTAACATCTGGGCTTTGATCCGCTCTGTGGGTTGAACTGCCTGCTCCCAATAAATCTATGTTCCCAATGGTCTGGGGCCAGCATGAAATAAGCAGGGAAAAGATTAAAAAAAGAAAATGGGGCTGAGGGGAGAACGAGGGGGTGAGAATAAAAAGATTGTATTTTTCATTCCAAAGAAGCTCTTCTTTCAAAAATGCCTCCACTAGACAATTCTCATTTCCAGCTGGGTGCTTTTCCCTCCCCCCTGGCCCTTTCTCCCCCCTCTCCTCTATCTGCCTCTGCTTCCGGATCTTCTCAAAGCTCCCCCAGAGAAAAACTTGGGCCAGTGAACTCCCTGTGAACAACTGTCATTTTTTAAAAGCCGCCCAGTCTCTTTGCTGCGATTTTCAAAGACTGACTCAGGGTTAGACTTTCTTTCATTGGGAGCAAAGAGATAGCAGCAGAGGGGAAGTCAGGGGCTGACGATGGTAAGAAAAACAGACACGTAACACGGACACTTCTGGCAGATGCTGGGTTTGTAACTGCAGGGAAATATAACTCTTCTGATACCCGAGGAAGATGTCAAGAAAGCAAAGCAGAGAGGAGGAAACTCATGTTTGTGTTATAGCTGCTGGAGTTTCGACGTCAGCGAGGCACCACCCGGTTTGACCTTGCCTGTCAAGACCAGAGGGATCTGGAGGTGCCAACCAAAGATACGTGAACAAAACTGGCCGAGCTGGCCAGTTTTGATATGTCAAAGGACAGATGTCTTCTGATTCAGGCAGCTGGTGGGCAGAGAAGAAATCTAAAGGTCAGCCTCTGAGGTGTAAGGATAGCAACAACTTGGATGGTTACCTGGGCTCCTGGCAGACCCTGCCTCCCATCATCTCTCTGAAAGGAACAGGCTTGGTCTGGCTGGTCGGTTTACAGCCTGAAACAGGGAAGACCACGTGTGCCTTGCTCACTGTTCTCTCTCTCGCCTCTTCACTACTCAAGACAGGTGTCACCGTATGTGATGGAGCCTGGTGCCGGCTCACTCACGATGATCCGTGGTTGATGACTTGACAGAAACACTTCCCCTGATTACGTTTTAACCTGGACTGTGCCACGTTTAGCTACATTTTGAGGGGGAAACAGAGGAAGGGAGGGAAGGACAGCGGGTTGAGGACGAAGGCAGAGAGCCTGAGTGCGGGACAGCACGCAGACAGCCCACCCCGCACATGACGTGTCTTTCACACTTTAACCTCACTAATTATTGACACCCAGTGAGCAAACATTGATTGAGCACCTAAAACATTCAAAACAATGTATAAGCTCCATCTTCCATGCTGTGAAACCCAAAAGGAATGACCAGGAAAAAAGATGGGCCATTACCTGTCTCCCATTGCTAATGAGCTGAAGTTACAGAAAGATAATTTCCAGTTTCAGCTTCATACCATTACTTATTAGAGTGATGGTAAAAAAAACCAAACCAAAACAAAAAAGACCCACTCAGACTAATGAATGGTCTCTCCTGCCAGTGGTGAAGAATGCTGATCTGGCTTATTTCACTACCTGCTCCTCTTTTGGTTTGGCAGATGGTTTGCTGATGTGATTATTTTGGATAGCAATTAATGTTAGGTAATTACTGACATGGCAGCCTCCACATATGTCCACCAATCCCTGTGGTTTAAATATTGGCTGGACTGTGGCTACAAACAAGGATGGTTTATGCAAAAGATAAACAATTAGCAAGGCCCTTCACTGTTTCTTCCTTTGCTGCCCGTTCTAGTTACTTGTCTACACTGAGAGCTGCAGCCTTCACTGGCCCAGCACGTGACAGCAGGCCTGTGGGCATCCTCAGTGCTCCAGGCAACCAGCTTCGGTCTCTTACAATAGAGCTCAAGGGTGATTCCCATTCACGCTGGCTGATGAGTCTTCCACGTTCCATTTGTAACCTCGCTCACTACATGTAACAATGCACGTGCCTACTAGTAGCATCCTGTGGATGTCTACAATGTGGTTTGGGTGCAGGGACAGTGTTTCCCGCCTCTGAGTCCTGTCTCCCTGCTACAGCCCGCAGATCTCACTTGGATATCAAGTATTAGAAGGAAGTGATGACTAAATGTCACAACTGTCACGTTCAGCCAACCACACCAAACTACTCTGTTCCTTCTTAACACAGCAGGGTCACCGGCCTGCCCATTGATCTTCGGCTACATGACCAAGACAATTTCTGATCAGGAAATGTTTTTGTGACACATCCCGGTGTAGAAACAAAGCCCGATATTGACTGTCGGACAGATGGTGGAGAAAGAGGTTTGCTTTTCTGCTAAAATACTCCTCTGGGATTTCCTTCAGGACCAAAGGAACATGGGGGAAGTTTAAGGCCACAGCAATGAAAGCTGACCAAGTGAAAGCTGATCTACACTCACGAAAGCAAGCGACTCTGCCCACAGCCCCTCATTCTTAAACCTTCGACAGGCAAAATTTTTAAGGGCAAAATTTCCTAGTTCACTGACCCAGACCCCCGCATTATGGATGCAATAAGGGTAATGCTGGAAGTGACAATGTCTGAGAAGCAACCACAAGTTATTATTTTTTTTTTTTGCACACAATTAATGATAGAATTGAGAACCACTTTTTTTTTCCTAATAGAAAATCATTAGCCATAGACTTGCAATTGAAATTCACCAGAGTGATGTCAGCCAATAACTCTCTTTTTAATTTCTGGAGGTTTGTCTACCCCAGGCAGTCTCAGCGCTCCAGAATAATGAGCAAACTGTTACTCGGGGCGAGCACTCAGATTTATGGTCTCCCGTGCTCCTGAGGGACTGTTTCCCCGATGACATCTCACTCTGAAATCTCTCATATTAAGAAAATTGATGGGTGTGGCGCCAAAGCGAACGCTGGATGTGAGTGATATTTAGACAAGTCTGTACTTCAAAACAGAGCCCCCAGCTCACACAGCAGCTCTCTGCCGTTGGCTGGGGATCTTAGCATTGACCACCTCATCTTCTCCAACACTACTGTCCCCCCTGCCCTTTTCCAAAAACATCCTTCTTACCTGTATCCTAAATATGTTTGGTATCTTTTCCTTCTACAGGCTACCTTGGCTTTTAAAAGCTTCCAAGTAGATTTTTATTTCTTCTGTGAAAGCATCAAGCCTTAGATCCTTGTCAGCTCAAATCACCAGGATACTAAAACTACCTTCCCGTCATAGCACTCGACAGAAACCGACGAATCAGGTTTTAAGTAAAACAGAGAGGTGACCTTATCAGGGAGCTGAAGGTTGCCTTTCTGCCCTGGGCTGACCTCTCACCGGGGCAGAGAAATAAGTAAAGGGAAATAGCTGGGTTTTCAGGGAGTAGCCTTGCTCTCTGGAAGGCGCCCAGGTCCGCCCAAAGAGCGGAGTGCCGACTTCGAACCAGCCCTGGAGTTAAGTCTTTGGAAACCTCATTCTGGAAAGCCGAAGTCCAACAGTGGCTTCCCGCGTCAGGGCAAAAGAAAGAGGGCGGAAATGGCCAGGGACAGAAGTTGGGCTAAGCAGTGAACAAGGAGCTTAAGGGCGAGAGGCTGGGAGGATTTCTCGGCCATGCTGCTCCGCAGAAACTTTATCTTGCACTGAGCTCTGTCTACTTGGAGCTGACATCAGAGGTCCATAACAGGGAACCACTCAGGGAACCTCCAAGGTCCCTGGTATTGTCTGGGTACCGAGTGCACTCCGAGCCCAAGGACAGGTTTTGTGAGCTGGGCAACGCTGCCAGGGCCAGGCGCCGGGCGAGGGGCAAGGGGGTGCAGGGCTGCCGCCCGCTGAACCACCCCCCCCCCCCCCCGCCCCGGCACAGCTCTCTCCGGCTTGGCGGATGGGGTCCTTACCTGTTCCAGCGGGCCACCTTCCTCCGGTAATACCGCAGCGCCTCCGGGCCAGCCAGCAGCACGTCTTCCGGCCCAAGGACAGGCGGCTCCTCTGGGACGCTGTACAGCGGGTGGGCGAAGAGGGCCTGCAGCTTGGAGCCCGGGCCACTGCGGCTGCTGCGGTCCTGCTCAGTCCCCGGCCGGGCTCGGGAAAAGTTGTGCGCCGCCGTGTGGGGGTCCGAGGGGCCTGCGGCAGAGTCCAGGTCCGGGGAGGAGGCGCGGCGGGCGCACGGGCAGCGCGGTGGGCGCTCCCGGGGCCGCAGCTGCCGCTGCACCTGGGGCCAGAGGTGGAAGTAGAGGTCGGCGGACAGAAGCGCGCCCAGCCCCAGCAGGATAAGCAGGCGGTCCCGGCGCAGTCCGGGCATGGCCCCTCCGGGCGCTCAGGCGACACCGGGGACCCGGGGGGTCTCTGAGTGCAGAGGGCCGCTTGCACTCCAGCCGGCCGGCTGCGGTCACTGCGGTCAGTAGGGCCGGAACGCTCACCACTGTGATAGCTCCGGTTTTGAAGGGTGTCGCTCTTGAACTTGGGGACCGGGTGCAGGGAGCACAGGGGCTCGTGTCAGTGGGCGTCTCTGCCCTGCGCGTGGTGGAGACCAGAGGATGGTGTCTCCCAGGTCGCTGGATCTCGCACCTTCCCCACCCCCGCGCCTGCCCACCCAGGAGCGCGCGGCAGGTGAAGGGCCGGGTGCTAGTCTGGCTGTCCCCGCGAGCGGACGGGCGGTGGGGCCCCAGCGGGCAGGAGCGCGGGTACCGGCGGCAGCAGCGCTCGCCTTTGGGAGGAGCGAGACAGCCGCGGAGCCTGGAGTGTCTCTTCAGAGGATGCAGTCGCCCCGAAGCTGCCGTGACTGTTCCGGGGCTCCTTCTGTGGGCGGCGGGACGCCCGTGCCCCCGGCTCCTCCCGACTCCTAGAGGTCTGCGCGCCCGACTCCTAGAGGCAGAGGTAGTGCCGGCTCCCCCGCCTGGCCGCGCGCCGGCACCTCCGCCCACTCCCAGCTGGCACCTGCCTCTGGCGCGGCTCGCCAGCCAACTCCGATCCCTCGGCCGGCTTTGCCCTTCCACCTTGTCACCGATCCTCTCCTCGCGCCTGCCCCCCTCACCCCAGGCCTCCCGCTTTCCCTGTCTACGGTTCAGTCCAGGCCGTTCTGGGGACCCAAGTGGTGTGTGTGAAAAACCTTTGCTATTTTCTTTCTTTCTTCTTTTCTTTTCCTTCTTTCCTCCCTCCCTCCCTTCCTTAATTTTTAAAGAACAAAAACTCTCCGGAAAGCCTTTCTCCTGTGAGATCGGTCAGGTGTGTGTGCATGTGTGTTTTGTCTGTTTATTCCCACGGGACACACACTAGATGCATAACAGCCACTGTCATGTGGGGAGCACAGGATGGGCACTGAGGAAACACCACCTTAGTGAATAAAAAAGTTTGACCTTTACAAACAAGGCGCCAGTTTTACCTAGAATCTTGGTGATTTCCTGTCTGGATGGAGTTTGATTCCAACTGGGCCTGTGCTTCACAAAGAGGAAATTTGGGGTCCACCCAAGGAGGGAGGGGCCCTGATGACCCCACTCTGAACTTTTGTATGTAGTGGGGCGGGAAAGTAGTTCCCACAAATGCGTCACTGGAGGACATATGGTAGACTCTCCTGGTCTCCTGAGAAGTAACTTCTACCCTCTACCCCATTCTCCTTTTGAGAAAGAGGGAAGGGGAGGTGCGAGCCCAGCCCTGAACTCCTGGTTCTTTTAGTTAATGAGTTAGTAGGAGAACGAAGGCTCAGCCTGACGGGGTTGGTGGCCCCATCCTCCTCAATGTTCAGAAAAATACATCTTTGCCTAGAGCTGCTTGTCCAGGTGGCGAAGCTTCCCCTGGCTGTTCATCCCACTCTTTCCCTCCTTCCCTGGGTGGAGGCAAGACCCTCAGACACACCTGCACTGGTGAGTTCAGACCAGAGTTCTTCCCACCTTGGGTTCAGCGAGGGATTCCTGTGGCCTGGGCCAGCCCCTCATTGGTAAAGGAAGGCAGTAACAGAACTTTCTCCATAGGGTTATTGTGTGGCTTAAATGAGTTAAAGTGTGTAACGTGCTTAGAACAACCAGCCCCAGAACAGTGTGAAATGTGTTTGCGAGAAATATGCCTACTTCTTGGTTTCTGTAGTACACTGTGGTAGGACAGACTGTTCGTGAGTGGAACAAAAACAGCAAAGTCTGGGAAAGGAATATACCAGGAAGGGACCCTTTTCAGGAGCACGCTGTGGCCTGACTTCCAAGTCCAAGTGCGAAAGCCCAAGATGATAGGACTGCCAGCTGCTCCATTCAGCTGGGTACAGTGAAGGGCATCTTCAGGGTTTCTTGAACCCCTTCCTTCTTTATATCTAGAATTAAATTTTAACTGGTCTCTAGTATCTTTTCAGCCTCTAACCTGTCTTGGCCCGTGGATGAGGGAGTCAGGCACTGAACTAGGTGGTAAACGGATTTACATTTTCCTGGGCTGGCCAGGGACATGGGTGTGAAGCCATCACAAGTCTTGTGACTTCTATTAACCCTGTCCCTGGGTTCATGCTCCTTGGGGATTCTCTCATCGGGCCTCAGTTCAGGAAAAAAAATATTCCTCACATTTTCCCTGCCCTCTAAAGGTCAAGGGCAAGACTGTATGTGGAAGTCAGATGTCAAGTGTAAATTCGGTTGGGGTGGGAGAGTGGAAATACTAGCAGCAGGATGGGCCACTCAGATGCCACGCTCCTCAAGGTTTAAATCTCTCCTTTTCCCTCCCAGAAATGAGCCTTTCCCTTCTGTCCCTACTCCGATCCCCCCCTATTTGGCTCCTGGCTTCTCTGCCGGCCTCATGTTCACACCCTAGTTATTCCTGGTGGCTGTTTCCTAGGACCCATCATTCTGCTTCAAGCTTCCCATTGCAAATTTGTCCCCCCTTTCCACTTCTCTTGCTCTTGAATGTCCCCAGGGCCTCATTTCTTTCTTAGACTCTTGCAAAGAGGCTCCTAACTGGTCTCACATACAACATGCCTCCCGCGTACCAGTATCTTTTATGATTGTTAGAGAAACATAACCTCTCTGTAACTATGAGACAATTAAGAAAAAATACCAGGTAGGTCACTGAGCTGATTAAGGATCTGTGGCAGGCGGGCTTTCGTATGTCTTCAAAATGGCCCATTTCCCTGCCCACCCTGTGTTCTCATATAATCGGAATGCTCGCCAGAGTGACCTTTGCAGCATGCAGGCACAACCACGATGTTCTCAAGGCTGAAAAGTCATCACGACTTCTCCTTGCCTCTGGATTAGTCACTCTTGATGTGACTTGCCATGGTTTGGCCTTTGTCTGCTTTTCCAGCCTCGTCTCCCACACGTCCTCTATATGACCCCCAGTATCCTCCCCATAATACTTCCTGTACTTCCCCAGGTGCTTTGTATTCTCACAGATGTGCCTTTAGCCCAAAGCTCTTTCCTATTTCTCCATCTGGGGAATGTCCATGGTCTATGCAAGCATTAGCCACTTGTCCCATTTCTCTGACACTCAGTGTGATGTGTGGTCATGAACCCTCACAGCTGTTTGCACGCCCTCCTGTCAAAGCATTGACTGTGTTGTGATTAGTTGTTTGTATGTGTTATGGGTTGATTCATATCCCCAAATGTGATGTTGAAATCCTAACTCTTAGAACAGAATGTGATTTTATTTTGAAATAAGATTGTGGCAGATGTCATTAGTAAAGATGGGGTCATACTGCAGGACAGGGAGCCCTAAATCAAATATGACTGGTTGTGGGGGCAACTTTGCCTGCAAAGTCCCCCCCATCCACCATGGATGAAAGTAAAACTACCAAGACATGATCTGCTTGGGGAGGAGAGGTGGCCAGTCCCTCAAAGGAGAAGGGCCAAGAGCCCCTTCCTCAAGGGGCTTTTATTGGGTTCCTTTGCACAAGAATCCAGGTAAGGATCAAATAATAGATAGCATTCAAAGAACTATGAGGGCTTATTCCCAGTCAGGGTCTAAAGAGCCATCAAACTTTGAGGAACCAACTTCTTGCTTGGACTCTTATCATTTAAATGAGGGCATTCTAAACAAAGCAGGTTTCACAGGATTTTACATATTCTTTCTCAGGACTTGATCACCTGGGTAGCCCACCCTTTCCAGCACAGGGCTGCACTGCCTTCCCCATCATAGGCTTTTAAGTGGATTAGAACCAGGAAGCGCTTCTCCCTGAGGACATGGGGCCTCGGGCTATGTCAGAATAGCCAGAGTGGGGGGAAGGGTGCGTGAGGGTCCGTCACTCCCTCTTTGTCACAGCCCCCGGAGTCCTTCTATGATGGCCCCCCAAGTGATCATGTCTGGCTTAGGTTGCCCCTTGCTGTGAGGAGTCTTACCCATCATGGATATCGACCATGCTTTGGTGGCGGGAGAAGGAAGCTGAGGCAGTGTTTGCTACCAGACACAAGCTTTGTCTCCTTTTGGTTTGCATTTCGAAGGTTGCTCACTCATCCTTAGCCATGGGAGGTAGTTACAACTCCTGAAACCAGGCAGAGCGGTTCCCAACAACTGGTGTCCCTATATAAAGGGGGAAGTTTGGACACCAGCATATGCACACCGGGCAAAGTCAGCTGTGTGAAGATGAAGGCAGAGACCAGTGACACTCCTGCAAGCAAAAGAATGTCAAAGATTGGCAGCCACCTCTCAGAGGTTAGGCAGTGGGCCTGCAATAGATTCTCCCTCAAGACCTAACTCGGAAGAGACCAACCCTGCCAACACCTTGACCCTAGGCTTCCGTCCTCCGGGACTGGGAGACAATACATTTCTGTTGTTTCTGCCACTCACTTTGTGGTGCTTTGTTGCTGCAGACTTTGCGATCTAATACAGTGCACACGTCTGCCTTCCTCACTGGAGAATGACCTCTTCAGTGTGGGGGGCAAGTGCTACTTACAGCTCCAAGGACAAGCCCTATCACCCGGGGAATGCTCAAGAAATTTTAGCTGAGTGAATGGAGGGATCTGAGGCCATATCTGCAATGGTAGCATCTTCCACAGGGCCGTGTACACAGTAGGGGCTAAACTTTTAGTGACAACAAAATAACGTATTTTGGACCCTGGGGGAGACATAGAAGAAATAAACAACATGCCTCCTGCCTACCAGCATCTTTTATGATCGTTAGAGAACCAAAACCTCTCTGTACCTATGAGACGATTAAGAAAAAAATACCAGGTACGTCACTGAGCTGATTAAGGATCTGTGGCACGCAGGCTTTCATAGGGGCGAGTGCCAAGGGCACTCGCTAAATACCGTGCTCTCTACCTCCAGGAATTCGATCACGAAAACGACAAAGTCAACAGTCAAACCCAAGAGTTCCTCAGTACATTCTGTTTCTGTCTTGCGTATGTTCACATGTTGCTTAAAAAAGACTGTTTCTTGTTTGTGCAGTTGGACTGAAATTCCTCAAGTACAAGGCCAGCAGGCTTTCT